GATCAAGACAGAAGGTACACTTGTTAAGGAGCAATACTACTTAATTCAGCAGCATCCAGCAGTGCGCTCAGGAAGGTGAGCTAGGAGTTACGGGGTGGTTTTTGAACAAGCTGATGGTAAACGCAAGGAGCAAACCCCAACCTAAATAATTGAAGTCAGAGAGAGGGACAAGAGGTTTTGAAACTGATGTCCTTACACAGCCTGCCAGTGTTACAGGATGAGTTGACAGAAGACTGGCGCAGGACACTGCAACCAGAATAAACACGAGATTTGAGTGAGGCACACCTAAATGTGTATATTAGGACACCTTGCGTACTGTGGTATGTAATCTTGACTGGCAACAGGAAAGCTTTGCTTGCGGGAAGTTTTCTGTAAACCTTGGCCGAACATTCTCTGGTTGCACTGTTTTCCAGGAGGGCCTCAACATTTTTCCTGAAATCAGTATTCATTGCCGTTTCGTTTTTGTGCTCCACCGAAGTTTTCCGAAACCACTTCATCCAGCACAGGGGCACAGAGGAGCTGGAGCCTATTCTAGCATGCAACAGGCACATGGCAGGGTACACCCCAGACAGGACGCCAGTCCATCGCAAGGCACACACAGACACAAACACTCACACCAGAGCCAATTTCTACAGAAGCCAATTGACCTACAGGTATCAGTACTGTATGTACTGGAACTGTGGGAGGAAACTGGAGGAAACCCACGCAAACCTGAACAGAACATGCAAACTCCACACAGACTGCACCCCAACAATTGATGCGCTCGGCATATCAGCTACTACTAGTGCTGAAAACTGTGCCACCTAAAGTTTACAGTGACTCTAATTCCATTAGTCAGTGTAGATGCATCTTACGCTATGTATCCTGAATGTAAATACTAAACCTATTTCGTATTCACATACCCTGTACTGTATATCCTATGGCACATACAGTAGATCACTAATGTTTTTTTTTAAATCGCTGAAATTCCTTGAACTGAATTACAAAAAAAAAAATCAAAAGCCCCTGCCTTCGAGGTATACAATGAAACTGCGTTATGTGTTTAAAGAAATATATCCGTGTCTATTAAAAACGTTAAAAAAATCAAAATTGATTTGACAAAAAAGTCTTTGAACTAACAGGAGTGCAATGAAAGTCGCTTTGGATAAAAGCGGCACCTAAATTAATCATAAGAAGAACAGCAAGAGCTCTTGAATTCCTAATGCAAAGTATCGCACAGAAATCCAAACATACAAGCAATTATCGCATCTCCCAGAATTGCATTTAACTAAAAATTCCGGGGTTTGTGACAGATCAAATAAAGACAAATAAAACAGAAAACACACCAACTACCCTTACACGCCATTACGGTTTCCTACTGTAAGCAGTATAACAGTCTCAAAATAGCTCAGATTAGCATTTTGCTAATTATATTAAGTGTAATTTGCGTGTTCTAATCCACGTAACGTGGTCTTCGTTTCGTTCTCATCTCTTCATTATTCCGTTTCAAAAACCAAAGGCAAAAACTGTGCATGCGCCTTTAAAGCCAAGAGAATTTAAATGCCCTCCTCAGCAGCAAACAGGGGAAGAAAAGTTTATAAAATTTGGGGCCAGTAGATTAGAGACAAAGCACACAGTAGTATCCGTTAATCGTCCGTTTGCAAGTACTTTTTTCCAAATCGATTGCAGCCAGGGATAGACTCCGCGTATGGAGACGCACGTTCAGAAAGGTTTCAACTCCCGAAGAAACCGCTTAAATTACTCGACACCGGCCGAATTTTCTCAAGAATGACCCACTTACCGCTGGCCGGGGGCAAACTGTCTTCCATGGTGCGGAGGGTCGCAGGTCTGGAAGCGGAGAAGCCTGTAATAGGATGTGGCTGTGTTGTAACTATGTACAGTCTGCTCCTCGGTCTGCAATGGCTTAATTTGCGGACAGCCCTGGCAGCTAATTCCATCTCTGCTTTGAAAGGGCTTTAGACAAGGCAAACTTCGGCTAATTGGCCTTCTGCCTCTTTAATCACGAGAGACAGACTCCTCCATCCGCTGTAATTTTCCTCATTTATTCCGAGTGGAGTGGCGCAAGTGGGCTGTCCAGAGCTTGCATTGACAAAGAAAAAAATTAGGCGATAAAGAGTTTCAGGTTGCCTTTTTAAGCAATTAAGCAGCTCGTTAGCGGTTGTGGCGCTTAAAGTCCTTCTGAAGCGGGTCTGCGAAGATTTTTAAATTCACAGAGCAGTAACTTTTATGTTTGAATGCGTTTTTTTTAAACAAAAAACCAACTTGAACTTTTCGCTTAACTGTAAGTATCATATCATTTCATATTTACGCGTGAGCTGACCCGACCATCTTTGAACTGGAGTCACCTCACCTCTTTATATTGTTCTCCATTGTCTCAGGTTACGTTCATCTGGCAAATATATCCCGCCAATGAAATATTCAAGCCTTTTATTTTGTAATCGAGGGAACAATTAAATGCAAAGAGCCTTTAAAAAGCAGGAGCTTTACCGGTGCAGTACTGCTCAAATTCTGCGACTCGCTCGGATGAATGTCATTTCTAAAATTTGCTAAACTAACTTGATGCAATGCACGCAAAATTTTGATTTTCAATACCGAGAGACAGCGGACGTTTTATTAAAAGAGTATAACCGATTCTAAATTGCTGTTTTAAAATGCCTATAAACGTACAGAAAACTGGTGGGATAGGGCATGCTTTGTGAGAAACCGTGTTTATTTAGGTAGGTTGGGGGGTTAAGTATATATATTTTTTTTATATTAATCAGTATAAAGAAGCTTCGTATTTGTTGCGTAATGTTACTGATGTCCCCAGTATATTGATTCCCTCCCTCCTAGCAGAACGGTAGATGGAGTTGTGCAAATGGGACACGGCTCTCGGTTGAGTTTGTTCGAATTTATAAAACCGTAGCCAGGTGGTGATGAAGTTGTCTCACAAACCGAGCAAATTATCTTACTTTCTAATTATTTGCTCAGTAGTCTTCACTAAAGAAACGGAGTTCATTTAACTCTCTCTATTTGGAATCAATTTACAGATACTTTTGTTTTTTTTTTTTAAAAAAAAGGTTTGAGTTTGATTACGGAAAATAACTAGATCGCTGATGCAAAGGGGATTCGTTGTAACATTGTTACATTGTAACGTAAGTGTAGGACATACAGTACAGTATATTCATAAAGAATAGACGCGGCAGCACTCAGGTCTGATGGACTTAATCAATGTTTTTAAAGGGACACCAATCACAATCGGCGAAGATGCGTCCCTCCAGCTATTTTTCGAACAACTTAAGACATTTCAGGGTCATGGGGGAGCTGGAGTCTGTCTCAGCTAGCAACAGGTGTCAGGCAGGGTACACCCTGGACAGGACGCCAGTCCACGCAAGGGCACACACAGACACAAACACGCAAACGAACAGTTTGTTGGCCAGGGCCAATTTTCCCAGAAGCCAGTTAACCTGCCAGCATGTCTTTGGATTGTGGGAGAAAACTAGAGCACCTGAAGGAAACCCTCATGAACATGGGGGGAACATGCAGCCTCCACGCAGAAGGGCCCCAGTTCTGCAAGGCAGTAATACTAACCACTGTTCCACGCATACAGCAGCAAATAGACAATGGCAGGGTGGCTGGTGTTGTCATCGAAAGTTGATCCTACAGATTGTCTACTGAGCTCAGGTTAGGGGAAGCATTTGAGAATGGCAATGTTGTTTTTTTCTTGAAGTCATGGCAGAAAGGGGAAAATAGGGAAAAAAAAACATACAGTATACAGGTATAGCTCACCCGACTCTGTCTAGGAGGGATTAGGGACAGACAGCACACAATAATTCTCATTTAATTTACTGCAAAATCGACATCCCTTTAAATATTACCAGAAACACGAGAAGATAAGTGTGATTGTTTCCCGTAGACAGATTATACAGTATGTGTTTTATTTATTTTTAGACTGTCGTTTAGGAGACTCCATTTATTCCCAGGCCAGGAAATGAGTTGTTCGGTTACTCAAAAATGTCATGCAGCGCACTGTGTTCCTATTCCAAAATTTGAAGCAGGTACTTTCTTTTAAATGGGAAGACTGTAAATCTACAGTAAGTGAATTCTATAAGTCTGTGCTGCCACATTTTAAATTAAACGTGGTCAAAGTTAATAAGTTAAGACTCCGTTATCTAGTCACAATTTCATAGTCTCATGATATTCAACACCTTCGATGTTCAGATAACAGTGAGGAGGCAAAAGGACAACATTGCTTAAATTAGCCTCTGAGAATACTGTATCTAATACATCAAAGTACACTGGTGCTGTTTTTTGGTGGAAACAAAATGCATAAACATGTCATATTGCTCCATAACATCCTGCACGCACCATGGACAGGCCTCCAGTCCATCGCAGGGCACACACACACTCACACTAGGCCAGATGCAGATGCAGACACACCGGAGCCAGTCCATCACAGGACACACACAGACACACACACCAGGGCCATTTTTTCAGAAGCCAATTAACCCACCAGTATGTCTTTGGACTGTTGGGGGAATTCCATGTGAACACTAGGAGAACATGCAAACTCCACACAGACAGTACCCAGGTCTCAGATTGAAAACCAAGGCTCCAGTGCTAGGAGGCAGCAATGCTAACCACGGTGCTACTGTGTTGCCCCTTTTTCTGCCTATGTTTGATCGTTTTTTTTCCTAATCGTTGTGCGCACAATGAGAGTTGAATACTTGATCCCATAAAACCCTCAGGAGGGATTCACTTTGTCCCACGCAAAAACAGGCCTCTCCTCAGACCTCTTGGAGAGGAAGGTGGTGCAGTGTGTTTTAGGAGCAGAGCAGCTCTGGCCAAATGAGGAGGGACTTGGACAGGATGCGATACCTTCCTCAGCGTTTCCCACAGAAATGACTTCAGGACCACATGTGGTGATCTGATCGGAGAACAGGCAAGCAGAACACACTGGACACCTCACAATGTCCTGGAAGAGATCAGAAGGAAGACACTGGCTCTGATGTGCAGAGATAGTAGATGATTGTAGAGAAGTGGTTTCATAAAACAATCATCTACTGTAAATTGCAGAAGCAGGATACAATGAAGGGGAACTGATGACAGTGTAACAGGCTTGATTAGATTTCATGTCTTTATTTTCATATGCTGGATTGAATTTTACTTTACTATTTGACTTACAGTAGTAGTGGGTGGCAGGGTGTTGCAGGGGTCAGCATGGCTGCCTTGCAGTACTGGGGCCCTGGGTTCAATTCCAGACCTGGGGAGCTGTCTGCGGGGAGAGTGTTCATGTGGATTTCCTCTTTTCATTCTGGTTTCCTCCCACAGTCCAAAGACCTGCTGGTAGGTTAACTAACCTCTGGGGAAAAGTGGCTCCGGTGTGAGACCTGGTGTCCCATCCAGGGTGTACCCTACTGTGAGAGTGCGGTGGGGGAGTCACCCCGGCGAGCCCCGGTAAAGTCAGACCCCCGGGTGAGCGGGCAGAAGCACCAGTGTGAGTTTAGCAGGGACCAAAAACAATACCAATCAAAAAGGTGAAAATAAACAGAAAGCAAAAAGAAAAGTGTACAGCTGTGCCTCGTGACCTCCAGCCTGGGCTGACCTTATTTAAGGGGGTCCAGCTGGGGGGGGAAAAGAACTGCTCGCACAGCGGTGACCAGACTGGACTTTCCCAGTCAGGCAAAACACAAAGTTAGTGTGTGGATAAAGGTGTGCCTGCCCCGGTGAGAATACGTGACGGGACAGGCGAAAAGAAAAGAAAAGGAACGTCTATGAACGTGGGTGCCATCCCCTCCGGGACTGTCGGTGTCAAACTCCCCCTTCCGGGAGTGTCTTTATAGGACCCACCCAGCTGGGGCTCATCATCTAGAAGCTGGGACTACAAAGGTGAGGCTCCGCCCTTCTATCAGAGCTCCGCCTCCACACTGGGCACGCCCCCGCATAATGCCACACTACCTTGTGCCAATTGCTTGCCAGCACAGACTCAGGCCCCCCTGAGACCCTAAGCTGGAAGAGGCACTTAGGAAACAGCTGGGATGACTAATGACTTAATATTGTTCCATTGTTTTAAATGAAGCCACACAAGCTCATGTATTCTGCAGAAATGCTGGTTGCTGTAGGTTTGATCGGTGTCTCTAGATTAATCAATTTCCCTACGGGATTAATAAAGTATTATCTATCTATCTAGATTGTCCCTTTGTGTATGTTTGCCCTGCGAGTGATTGGCATCCCATCAAGCATGTAGCTCTGCCTTGTGCCATGTGCTCTTACTGTAGGGGCTTCCGGGCGATAGGGTTTTTGGATAAAGAATGGATGGGCACAATGACTCGTGGGGTAACCCTCATTAATGCAACTTGTTTCTAATAAGCTAGTGAGAGGTGGGAGTGTGAGAGAGCCACCATCTTGGCTCAAAACATGGGCCCAATAGCGTGGCTTTGAGCCAAGATGGTGGTTTTCTCACAAAGTCGCCTCTCACAACTTCACCCAGTCTAATAGACACCATGAATATCACTTTTTACACCTTATCCTTCATGTTCTTTTCCTGACACAATGTTTAGCTTTTCCACCCACGTCCCAGAGCTGAGCTTTCAACGATTTAAGAATCTGAAAATGAAGCAACATTTTGTGGAGGCTTATAGTGAAGTGAAAATGTCACTTCACATAAGCCACTAAGAGCATCATAACACCTCTGATTAATCAAATATCACAGACAAAAAACTTCACTCATGGAACTATGCTGTTGGCTTTATTTGATGATTTTCAGTTCAAATACTGTCAAATTCCAAAATTCTGAAAATTGAAAAGGACACGTTTATGCTTTATTAAGCAAATGCTGCAGCAGCTAAAGTATTTTGAGTAGTGTGCAGGTAATGAATATTGTACAACGAGCTACTTGGAGGTGTTGTGCTAGGTTTATTCCCCAGTAGTAAAATGCAGTGTAACAAAACCAGTCATGCAGCCATTTTGCATGCAGATTTGTCCAGTAATGTAAAGTAGGGAGTGAGTACAAGTTTGGCAGAGGCGTCTGCCCTGCCGTGGTCTGTGGAGGTCTGGGATGTCACAGCCCGCAGTAGTGATCAGAGGCCGATCTTGTCGGACCCCTGTCACTCTCCTTCGCATCTGTGAGAGAGGCAGTCACAGGCCGTGACGGTGAAGATCTCGTGCTGCAGCACAGTGCCGTTGGCGCACTGTAGAGGGACCAGCATCGTCTCGGTGCCTTTGGCCGAGCAGCACACGCACTGCTTTTCCACCTTATGCGTCTCCAGAGAATAGACAGACTTGCTGGTGCATTTCCCCTGAAAGAGACGGGGTCCGACAGTTATACTTTCTAGCTAGGCGCAGTGGCTGGCATTCCTGTATTGCAACGCTGGGGCCCTGGGTTCAATTCCTGGGGGGCCATCTGTGTGGAGTCTATATGGTCTCATCGTGTTTCCTTTGGGTGGTTCGGTTTTCTCTCTGTGTCCAAAAGCATGCTGGTAGGTTATTGGGCTTCTGGGAAAACTGGCCCTGGTGAGTGTGTGTGTTTGTCTGTGCCAGTGTTTCCCCTGCGATGGACTGGCGTCCTTTCCAGGGTATATAAAATGCCTTCCGTAGGTTTTGAGTGTCTCACTCACTGCAGTTACTATACATGATAATCTGTGCCAATCTGTGTTTTTTTTTACCAAACTCTCACCCCCTTCAAATCTCACACAAAATCAAAAAATCTCTTCAGCACTGGTCTCTATACTAGGCCTTCTGCCAAGTCCTATATTATTTAATATAGTTACGTTTGCTTATTCTTTTAACATCTTCAAGAAATAAATGTTTTCACAGAAGACGTTTTGAGCCCCAAGATAAATAAGAGTTATCTTATGATGGAGTCAAAACTGGATTATCAAGTGTATACTGTATTTATCACAAGTGTAGCAATCATCTTTTATTCTTACAGCTATTATCTGGCTCAATTTGGATAATTGGCTGTATATTTTACATATACTGTACTATATAATTTCTTTCTCATTATAACATGTACAGTATGTCTCTTATCTGTTAATGCTTTGCTGTGTTAAATGTACTGTGTATTTTACCTGCCTGCAAAGCAAATTTCCCTGTCTGCGAGTAAGTATATATTGATTACAGAAGTTATAATCAATATCTGAATCGATACCTAATCAATACCTAAGAAGAAGGCTCCACAGCCAAAATTTTCTCTCTCTTTTCTTTTCCTTCCCGTTAAGCCTGGAATAAGCCTTTACCTGTTCTTCTATTGGTTACAGTTCGCAGTACAGTACATATTCGAGTCGAAAATCAGATATTGACAGTCAATCTGTGCCACAAACGGTCAATGATCTGACCAGACTGTTCTGCACCTGAGCTTACCTCGCAGTAATGAATGTCAATCCGATCCCGAGACATGCAGTCGTCAATTTTAATATACTTCAGGACTCCGGCGGTTTTTTTACACTCGGGCTCAGTACCTGAGGGAGAACAACACAGAGCCTCGCTGACAAAGGCACGCAACGCTGAAACCGAAATAAGGCCCCTTTGCAAGACTGGGGAATGCAGAACCGCACATTTGTACAGGAAAAGGGCAGAAACGAATAGATGTGAATTTTTAATGTCCTTCTGCATCTTCCAAGAGGTCAAAACTAGGAAAGATTCTATTTGAAGTGTACACAAGGGCATGTATTGCTTCTTTATGACTAGCCTAACATATTAGCACTTTATTCGTCAGGACACTAGGAACACTCTGCTGTAGGATGGGCCCTTTTCCCAATGAGATGGTAAGACAAGATCACAATGAGATGGATACTCAATCACAATAAACTGCTCAAAAGCATGGGAGTTTTCATACCCAAGACCTGTCCAACCACCACTCTGGTCTTCAGAAACCTGACCTACTGTATTTAAAGCTCATCCTTCTGGTTTTCAAATTGGTAAAGGAATCAGTGAGGCTGCTGGTGCATAATGCTGCTTCAGATTAGTGATGCTCTCCTAGTGTAAAGCACTTTGGGATCTTGTGGGAAGAAAAGCAGTATCGACATGAATGACTGCTTAATTATTTAAATATAAATACTGCTAAAGCTATACTGGATGTTGACAACATTCCATCTTTTCAACGTGTTTTCAAAAACCAAAAAGAAAGGTCAGTGTGGAATCACCAGGTTTCAAATAATAATCAAACATTATTTTACTAAAATCTGTCCGGGATCCAAAACCAGTGCTATCATCAGTTCTCAGAGAATGAAAGTAGTTACATTAAAGATTTCATCTTTAAATGAGCAGACAAAATAGGAGAAGCTTTACTACCAAAAAACAGTTGGGCCATATTTCTTTTCAAGTTGCATTATCCTTATTAATTATGAACTTTCCATTCATATGAATTGTTTATCCATACAGCAAAAAGTGGTATCTGCATCCTGAATGCTAGGTTTCTACTCTATTTCTAAACCTACTGCACAAATGTACAAGTGTCTTAAATTCATATTGGGTTTATACAGACTGAGGTTTCTGTTTTTTTACAATGACTCACTGAACATACAGAAAGACAAACCAATAGTTTTATATTAAAAGCATTAGGTATAATACTCACAAGTCTCACAGCAGCTGTTGCCCAGTTGGGTGACTTTGCCCTGGTAATGATAAAGAAAGATCCTTACATTATGTTAATCAATAGTCCCACCACCCTGTATGTAAACACATGCCTTGTACTCTCAACAGGATTCTGTCTGAATACTGTATAGAGATCTCAACATCAGCTAATAAACAGCATAATCAGTACAGGCCGCTTATGTTGCCTTTTTGTATTTCATTCACTCTTTAAGGTATCCAATCTGGCCTGGTTAGACAGAGGAACTGAGAGAGGAGGAAAATCAGAGCTACTGACCCCTTCAGCCAGGCAGCTGGCCTTGTCAAATGGAGGGCAGGTAGTTATTTTTGTTTCCAGCACCAAATCATCCTGTTTATTGATTTTGCAGGTATAGACGAAGCATCCCTCCTGCCGGGTTTCATTTGCCTGTAAACATAGAGAAACATGGGTCAAAACTAACAGCCAATGTGTTGTAGGCCTCCTGCATAATCACGGACCACATTGAGCAAGTCAGTGAGAGTTAACGTGAACAAACAGACCACGATCACATCTTAACTTCCTGGTGGTACAGTACAAGGTAGCAAGTTCAGATTTTTCCATAGTGCTCTGGGTTTACTTGAAGAAAGGGGCTCAAATGTCAGTCAGGTTATAGAGAAGGAATGTCAAAGAGCTACACCCTACGTTAAAACAGTTTCAGACCAGAGAAACACGTTTGACCCATCTAGCCAATTTGGCAGCTAGTGGTTAATTGGCCAAGGATCTCATCCTGCTGTTTCTTTGAAAGAAACCAGGGTATCAAATTCAACAACATGGCTGGGTAGCTTGTTCAACACTCCTACAATTTCTTGGCTAAAGAACTTCCCACTTAGGAAGGTTTCTCCTGCCATACTTATGAACAGTGTTATGTATATTTATGATTGATTTATATCAAATTCAGCATTGCAGACATTCATTGTACAGTATGTTTATTTACTGAATTTACTGTTGTGTGCACTTCTTTCACATCACTGTGTAATTTTATTTTTCATCAGGGTTGTGCTTGAAATGGGATTTTAAGCAACTCAATCTATGAACTTGGAGATCTATGAATATGTGTATTAATTTTGAGCACTGACCATGTCATACTCTTATCTATGTTGACACCAGTTATCATACAGAAAAGGGAGTCTGTTATGTTCACAAGGAAGACAAGAATGAGAGATGCAAATAAAAGGATAAACCAACTAAATCACTGAGTTTGTTAAAAAGATGTTTTAGCAGGTTACATTTGGAAGGCTCAACTGATCATCCTGATTATGGCATTCCACTGGTATGTTACTAAATATTCTAACACAATGCTCACATGATTTAGTTTCGCTTTTATCGTGCATTTTGTTATATCTATTTCCCTCAGTAGCTGCAGGAAGGGGTGGAAAACCTTTACAGTAAATAATCCGATACACCTGGAGACATTAAAGACCACACCACAGACCTTCAGAGTTGTGATTGTTCCATCCTTCAGTTGGATGGTGCAGGATGTTGCAATGCATTTTCCACAGCAAGAGCCTGTAACTTGCTCGAACCTGTAACCCTGGAATATAAAGGTTTATATGTAAATAATTGGAGAGGGTAGTGAATGTCTAACAAGATGATTTTGGGTTCAAGTGCCCACGACAGATACAGTACTGATGTTTTATCCTTGAGCAAGGTGCCCGATTAATGTACTCATCCATACTGTATATTCACCCGTCTATTTCCATCCACTTCCAATCTAGGGTCACGGGGGCACGCACGCACACACACACGCATGCATGCCTAGGCTGTTTTCCCAGAAGCCAATGAACCCACCAGCTTGTCTTTGGACTGTGGGAGGAAACTCACATGAACCAAAGGAAAACAAAAAAACTCAGTGCACTTAGTACCCCAGGAATTGAACCTAGGTCCTCAGAGCTGCAAGCTAGCAATGGTAACCACTGTGCCACCAGAACACCCTAAATGTACGTATACATACAGCATGAAAGGTACTTCATGTACTTCATACATACAGCTCAGCTATGAACACCAATCCAAAAAAAAGACAAAATATGGTTTAATCCTTTATGCACATGGCGGTTCCTTCCTGTTATATGAAACTTGAACAAAAAAGCAATGGACACACACGACTGAGCAAAACTGAATTATTTAATTTTTTAATGGTCATTTTTAAAAATACTATTTAAAAGTCATTTTAAAGTCGGGAACACCCCGAGTGGGTCTTACCAGTGGGCAGGGTGTGCAGGTGATCCTCTTGCAGGACAGGCGGAACCTTCTCAGCAGGCCCTGCTCCATGGAGCACTCGCAGTGCGTGCACAGGTCCACCATCAGGCTCTCCCCCGCCTGCAGACGAGACGTTGCAACCAGCCCGTCAGGAGCAGCGCAGGGAAAAAACGGTTGGGTGCACAGTTTTAGAATTTGTACATTTTTTTGTATTTGTCTTTTCTGCTGCTTCTGTACATTTCAAATGCACAATTTATTGTGCCTTCTGACTGAGAGAAGAATAACACTGGGCAGCCGGACCAACTGACCGAGCAATTGACTGACTGACTGATCAATTGGTTGAATGATTGATCGATCGGTTGGTTGATCAACCGATTAATCGATTGACTGAATGGTTGGTTGACTGATTGATTGCACTATCGATTGGATTATAAAAATTCATTGGTGCCTAAAGTACTTATTAAATCAAAATCACTTACTGTATGTACAGCACACAAATGTATATGTAGTTTTGTTGGAGCATGGTACTGACATAAAAGTCCTGTGATTAATTCCATTCTACCTCAATGGTTACTGACTAATGCCAATGGAAATGGTACAGTGGAAACTGGTGACCACAGCAATCATAGTCCCACAGTCATGCATTACTGGGTACAAAAGGACTGACTCTGTAATACAGACTCATACACTTAATTAACTCTATTAATCATCTTGTTTTTTTCAAAATGAGACCAACCTGTTTTATGAATACAACATCAATCCTCTACTGCCACAAACATTTACATGTACAGAAAACCCAAGGGAACAGGTATAAAGTAATAATAATGTAATGTTTCTTTATTAGCCCTATACAATTTCTTGCATTAGGAATTCGTCTTTTCGCATACCCCAGCTTTTCTCCATGGAGACACAGACACAGAGACAGGGAGAGAAGCTTGGGGTCAGAGCGCAGGGTCTGCCATTGTACGGCGCCCCTGGAGCAGTTAGGGTTAAGGGCCTTGCTCAGGGGCCCAACGGAGTAGGATTCCTCTGCCGGCCGCGGGATTCGAACCGGCAACCTTCCAGTAACAGGCGCAGATCCTGAGTCACCGCTCCGCCCATTGTATAAAGGTTACATGACGATGGCTCTGTGGCTAAGGATATGCGCCTGTGGCTGGAAGGTTGCTGGTTCGAATCCCGCGGCCGGCAGAGGTATTCTACTCCATTGAGCCCCTGGGCAAGGCCCTTCACCCCAACTGCTCCAGGGGCGCCGTATAAATGGCCGACCCTGCGCTCTGACCCCCAGCTTCTCTCCCTGTCTGTGTGTCTCATGGAGAGCAAGTTGGGGTATGCGAAAAAATGCATTTCCTAATGCAAAAAATTGTATATGGCCAATAAAGTGATCTTAAGAGGGCTGTAAAAGAATAAGAGCAACGTTAATATAGAGATCAGTGTAGGTTCTTACCCCAATGATAGTGTTGTTCATGACACAGGCATCAAGGGGAACTAGAAGAAATGATGGACAAAGATCAAAGCAAATACAGAGAAGCTTTAACTTGAAAAACTCATTCCATAAACAAAAACAGTTTACAGTCCCCATGCTTTTCACGCTGTGAGTAAAACCCAGACTTGAATAACTTGTACATCTTCCTTAAGAAAATGATAGAAAAGCAGCATTTTTAAACAATGGATCATGTTTTCCCACCTGTATTCAACTAACTACTCCAATAAAGTTCAAAGAATGTTCTGTGTTCCCACAACATTCAGTCCCAGACTTAATACAAGTAAGTTGTGGATGCATTATAGTTCAGCTTACTACAGTACAATAGTGCAGTACAATACATTCAATTTCTGTAGCACGTAATCCAATAGAACCAGAATTTAGTTTTGATACTTAGAGGCCAGATGATCTTTCACAGCATAACTTCAAAAACCACTGAAATTTCTATGAGTAACATGTGTGTGAGGTGCAGTGCCTTCAATCAAAATGGAGATTCTTGTCTGGACCTCATTTCCCAGAATGCTGTAATGAGGAATGACCCCATCCCCCACCCCTACCCCCGTTAGTCACCTGACCAGTTGATGCAAAACAATTGGTCAGGTGAAAGTTGAAAAAACAGGAAGCTCAGTCCAATGCTCAGTGATATCTGCTGTCTGAAGGAGAGAAGGCAGAATCTCAGGTTGCTCCGTTCCCCAGAGGTAGGAGGAACGGACTGTAGAACCGTGGACCAGAGGAACTTGCAAGACCTATGAAACTGAACTTGTGAGTTTGAGAGTTTGGAAGTCTTCTGAAGACTCTTAGGAAGAGACTTGTTTGTAGACAGAAAACAGCTGAACAGCCCAGCATGACAGAAAGGGACTTTCAGGTTGTTCAAAAATGAGCTTAGACTGTTGTTTTGGCTTGGGGTTTTGTTTGAGTTCCCTAAACTGTAAATAAATTGCACCGTTTTTGTATTTTATTGTTGTGCATTCATGTGTCTGTGGTCCTGCATCCTTCTTTTTTTTAAGGTTCCCTTTCTGGCTTGCCCGTTGGTTTTCCCCCCGTTCGGGCACCCTTTTTCCTTCGTAAGGCCCTTGGTTCTCTTTTTCATCTGAGCTGTCAGTACCGGCACGTACCACATTGGCAGGTGGGACAGCAGCCGTCTAAGTTGTTGCAGCGAAGCTCGGTGCCCAGGGGGCATTTGGGGGTGTCCATCTGAGTGCAGGACACGTTGTACTGATTGATGAAGACCTCCTCGTTGATCCGCACGCACTCGTTGATGACACATGGCTTCTGGGGAGACCGCCACTTCTCCCCCACCTGCAGCGACACAGAGCCTCAGCAGTTCAGTGTTTCTTCTCAACATTTGATCGCATGACTCTTTACTTGATTGAGCTGTGGAGATGCAATGATATACCATGTTAGATAAGCACATGGTATATCATTTGCATTGCTGCCTCACAGTGCTGGGTCTCTGGGTTCAGTTCTGGACCTGGATTGCTACTGTATCTATATGGTTTGTACAGTATGTTAATAATAATTCCTTACACTTCTATACACTTCCTTACACTTTTCTGGACACTCCACTCAAAGCACTTTGCTGGTAATGGGGAATCCCACTACCACCACCAATGTGTAGCCCCTGCCTGAATGATGCAACAGCAGCCAAAGAGCACCGGTCCGCTCACCACACACCAGCTCTTAGTGGGTAGGAGAACAGAGTGATGAAGCCAGTTCGGAGATGGGGATTAATTCGAGGCCATGCTTGGTAAAGGTCAGGGAGAATTGTTGCCAGGACACCGGGGTAACACCCCTACTCTTTTTTTAAAAACAACCTGGGATGTGGTGGCTACTCTGTATGTATGTTCTCCCTGCGTTTGTGTGGGTTTCCTCCAATAGTCCAAAGACATGCTGGTGGGATTCTGAGAAAACTGGCCTTGGATTAACTGGATTCTGAGAAAATTGGCCCTGGTGCGAGTGTGTGCATGTTTGTGTCTGTGTGTGAACAGTGATGTTTTGGCGTCTTGTCCAGGGGGTATCCTGCCTTACACCCTTTGCTTGCCAGGATACGTTCTGGCTCCCCCTCAACACTGTACTGTGATAAGGTGGTATACTACATGGTACTCTCATGGTCCAGTGCGGTAAAGCACAGGAAGTGTAGACAGTATCTGATGATATGAGACCACAGAATTCACTATGGAAAAGCTAATGTACAGTAGATGTACAAAAATCAAATGATAGATTTGACATGTTAGATTTTCATAAAGGCAGCCACGCTGGCTACAATGAAAATCATCAATTGAAACAGCTGTTTACATTGGAGTCCGCAGTGCATTAACCCCACAAAGAGGACAGGGACCATGCTGTGCTTTGAAACTACTGAGAATAACTATTAAAGTCATGAGATAACCTCTAGGTGGTAAAGTGGTCCAAAAGAGGTTGCACACAAACGGGCATTATCTTTAAATAAAGGCTTTAGAATTAAAAAGAAATACTGATCTCGACTAGTACGTGCATGAGAAGAGTAATCACAAAGGCAAACCAATGTACTGTATGGGGAGAGAAAATAAAAACAATGATTAGAAAATACATTTAAAGAAAAACAACTTACCATGCGCAAACGGCCAGAAACATCCATATCACCCATGGGCCTTCCAACAACGTTTTCCAGACAGGAGGTTGTCTTACACCTGCCACAGCATGCATCTGGGGCTCTCATGTATGTAGAACCCTAGGTACAGCACAGGCAGTCAAGCCTCCCATTCAATTTCATTTGCAGATTCATTTACAATAAAAGTAATTTGTAAAATCCGCGTGTTTTGGTTTAAATCAAGTTTCTATGCCATATTTCAGGATTGGCAACCAGACTCTGTAACAGCTTCTTCCTGCAGCCTCCTCAACACAATGGAATTTACTTGCACCCAATCCCAATTCCAGAAACAGGGTTTAAATCCCCCCAGTGTGATGTGTATATTGTTTTATGTATTTTCCTTGTAATTTGCACTTTGCTCTGTGTGTATCCTGTCTACAATGTCTATGTCAGTGTCCTGTCTGTCCTGTCTGTATTTGCACCGATATTTCATTCCAGTGTATACTTGTATATGGCTGGAATGACAAATAAACGTGAACTTGAACTTGAGAAGATCACAGCCTGTCTTTATTTGAGGTTGATAGGCAGACATGATGAATGTCCTTGCCATCACTGCTGCCTCTAAAATGTAAAAAAAAACAACCAAACTATTTCTGTCATCCGTTCACAAAAAAATATGTGACAAAAAAGGATTTTTCTCTTACCAAGGGGCAGATCTCATTGCAGACTTTTTCAGTGCACTCCACGATGTGCAGGCCCGTGACTCTGTCCTGCCTGTCTGTGCAGCTGCAGGTTTTACAGGAGTCTTCCCACTCATTCCCAACGTGGTACGCCACACCAGAGTGGACACAGACCTGTGCGGAATCAAAACAGAAGCGGGAAATTGCTCAGGGGGCTTTCTGGAGCGCCAGCAGTTCCAGAGGCCTCTGCAAGATTGCAGTACTGTATCTATTGCACAAACACAAATCTCACTCAAGTTTGGCCAAAACAGACTTGCATATCCCTGAATTCGAACTTTTTTCGTAAAGAAGCATACCACTGTCTCCGTTCTTCAATGTACTATAATGCAGTAAGGTGACTTTTAAGATATAAAAGAGCTGAGTATCATTCAGCTTGCAAGGACCAGAGTTCCCTTAACTGGACATATTACTTGCATAACTGACCAACAGCTTACAAATGCTCTTAAGCTTGTAAGAGCGGGTGATTTATGGTGATCTTTAAGACTAACTGCATCAGAACTCTTCGGGACCGTAGGTGGAAACAGCCTGGACCTGTATAATAGTGTTCATGCTATTAAAATCAGGAGGTGATCAAAACTTCAAAACGGAGCAGCGACGTGACAGAATCCAGTCGCGGCCTGTTGTTTTAACTGGGGCCCCAGCTGGAGTACAGTAGCTGCATTAGCACCTGAGCCTCAGTGGATTCGGCGTGGAAACAAACAGCTTTGTTTGCTTTTCCCTTGCTACACCGTAATCTCCCTCCGGGCTGGGGATCCTCTGTGGGCCAGGCCTGCCTTCACCTTTGTCCCCCCGGATTCGGTGCCCTCCTCCCCAGAGCCTGCTCTGAACGGACTGCGCCGACAGCTCACCGCCGAACCCGTGACACTGTCAGTTTGTGAAAAGTCACCCGAGCGAACGGGTCACAGATGACCTTTCCATCACACATGCAAATGTGTGAGGTCCTTGTGGCACACAGGCTAAAAAAAGGCCCAGCTTGTGATAGCTCAGGCAAGCACACACACACACATAAGTAACAATGCATTGATTCGGTGGAGTTTTAAGAGCGATCACTCACTTTGTCGGGGACACAGCTGACCTCGCTGCAGCCACAGTCGTTGACCACTGTGGTGGTGATGTAGCCCAGAGGGCAGGTGATGGTGGAGTTCTGGCAGCTGCAGACGCACTCGTATTCATCGCAACACTGTGTCTTCTTCACCTCGAGCCGCCTGTGGGAAGGGCAAGAGGGCCTGCTCTGCAGAAGGCACTCTTCCTTCTTACAGGCTTGAAGAGCCGCAGAAGAACATCAGCACATGTGGGGATAACATCGAGCAGACGACAAACAAGGTTAGAGGAGAGAGTGAAAAAGGATCTCCAAAGACACTGCTGTTTAGCTCAGGGCTGTTCCACTCAAATGATTTCTTTTTAGACTTTCGGTTCTTAGAAAGCCGGAGATTTTACAAGAGACTTGAAACGCATAATGGTTCAAATTGATTACTGTACGTTACTCATTGGCGCGTTATTAGGATGAGAAGCTAAAAGCCAGCAGAAACCCTCAAGGGTCCTGTCCACAAGGATGGGGTCCTGCCTAGTTACTGGAGGAACACAGATTCACTCTGGTTTTGGTGTCTGTCAACAGGAGAGTTAGAGAAGCTCTTGCTCACCACACTCATAAACCGGCTTGCACTCTCCGGGGTTCGTCAGGACGACTGTCAGTCCAGCCCCACATTTAGGCATGGCGGGGAGGTCACAGGTCACCAGATCACACACTACGAAAGAAGGAAAGGGGAAATGTTCAGCCCCCTAAGTCTGCTGTTCTAACGGGAAGCGGGCGGTAAGCAGAAGAACTCTCCGACAGCCTCCTAGGGGTGAAACCGTTATCACGAAGGGTGGAATATTAGAATGAAATTCAGCCAGCAGTTATATCACCACTCCCAGGTGGCCGCCCCACTGAAGCTCAACAGGTGTGAGCCTAGACAGCATCCGGAGGGGAGACCTCCAGGGAAAGCTGAGGTTGCAGCTGAATGGGGTGTTGGATAGTGTGACCAGTAGGGGGCACTCACCCTGCAGCCTGACTGGCACACTATACTGTAAAAAGGCGCCATCCTTCAGATGAGATGTTAAACCTGTGGTCATTAAAAATCCCAGAGCATTTCTCGTACAGAGTATAGGGGTATCACCTTGGTGTTCTGGCCAAATTCCCATTGGCCTTTACCTACAGTATCATGGCCTCCTAATAACCCCCATCTCTGTACTGGCTTCATTACTCTGTTCTCCTCCCCACTGAGAGCTGGTGTGTGGGGAGAGTTCCCTATTGCCTGTAAAGCCCATCAAGTGGAGTGTCCAGAAAGGTACTATTAAAGTGTAAGGATTATTTAATATTATTTATTAAATATCTTCATTTTGATCAACATAAGTGACACTTCCCAACCTTTCCTTAGTTTCAGGCGTCTCTTAACAGGCTCATGAAAAACCCATTGGATTCGGTAAGGTGGGCTAGCTTTAATCACGGTGAACTGAGCTGCCAAAGCCGCAAGGCTTGAGATGCTTAGTAGCAGCCTGTAGTAAAACGCAGGCCAGTCCGTGAAGCAGCACTTACCACATTCATACTCGGTACAGCACTGGGGGCCTCTCTTCTCTCGCAGGACTTCACACGGTCCACAGACTGGTTCTGGAGAGACGGGAAGAGCGAAGAGGGTTACGGAAAGCATTTACAGTATGGAAAACAAAGAACAGGCCGCTGAATAAGACATTGACCAGAGTTCAGGTGCCACCAGAGGTGGTTAAAAACACGGACTCTTTTTCATCCAGAAACGCTAGAGAAGGAGCTGGGAAAATGAACCAGGTGTCTGTTGCCTTTCTTTGTCCTGTATGGCTATGTTACAGGTGCTTAGCTCCAGGTATTGGGTTTTAGATTCACCACTCACAAAGTACAGTATACTGTACATTCATCCTCAGTCCAGCTGGAAAACCCTGGGAATATTTATATTAGGTCTGACTCAGCATGGAAACACACAGATTCCTGAAAAATCCCCTAGTTTGCAACTATGCAGTCCTGTAAAAAAAGAATCGTAAAACCTCTGATACGAGCAAAAGGGAAAGGATGATTCACACTCAACCACAGTATTGCAGCTACAATTCTTGAAGCCACCAGGTGATGCGGTGCTTTTTCGGCCTACGCAAGGCGGGCTCCTGAGAGCGCTTTACCTTTGGAGCTGGAGCACGGTCGTGAAGTGCAGTTGATTTGCCTGTTGTCTAGACACATGCAGATCTGACAGGCGTCGCGGGAGGGCACCCAGGTGTCAAGGTGCTTGGGAACGAGAGAGAAAAGGATTGATCAGACAAGAAGAGAAGAGAGAAGAAAAGGCCGTGGTCCTTCCAGATTCTTTAAGTGGAATGACCGCTCACATCTAAAGAAGCTTTGAATGCTCATTTACTAAAGTCTTCTGATTCCTCCAGACGTAGCCTCACTGTGCCAATATAAATGAATTCTTCACACTCAGTCTCTTTCTTATGAGCTGCTAGACTATTATTATTCATTATAACATCATCACAACAGTGTATATACAGTATTTGTGTTCCCTGCCTCTCAGGGCTGGGGTCCTGGATTCAATTCCGTACTTGCAGTGCTATCTGTGTGGTGTTTGCATGTTCTCCCTGGGTTTGCACAGATTTCCTCCGGTGTCCTCCCACAGTCCAAAGACGCGTTAGTAGGTCAGTTGACTTCCGGGAAAATTGGCCCCGGTGTTTGTGTGTGTGTTGGTGTGTGCCATGCAGTGGACTGGCGTCCTGCCCAGGGTGTACCCTGCCTTGCGCCTATTGTTTGCCAGGATAAGCCACGGCTCCCCCACAAGTCTACACTGAAGGAACCATTTGGAAAAGGCATGGATGTATCTATATAATCTTTACTGACCATAAAAAATGTTGATTTTGTGCCAGATGGAAATATGCCCAAGTATGTGGGTTGAGCTAAGAAAGACTATTAAGACAGGTATTTAAGTGTGATGATAATAATAATAATAATAATAATAATAATAGCTTACACTTATATATCACTTTTCTGGACACTCCAGTCAAAGTGGTCTATACTGTAGGTAATGGGGAATCCCACTACAGCCACCAGTGTGCAGCCCCACCTGGATGATACTGCAGTCCTCTCCCCACACACCAGCTCTCAGTGGGGAGGAGAGCAGAGTGATGGAGCCAGTTCAGAGATTAGGATTACTAGGAGGCAATGATGGGTAAGGGCCAATGAGACATTTGGCCAGAAAACTGGGTCGACACCCTTACTCTTTTTGACCAGAGAGAGTCAGGACCTTGGTTTTACGTCTCTTCCAAAAGACTGTGCCTTTTTACAGTCTAGTGTCCCCGTCACTATACTGGGGCATTAGGGCCCACACAGACTGCAGGGTGAGCGCCCCGTACTGGCCCCTCTAATACCTCTTCCAGCAGCAGCCTCATCTTTCCCAGGTACTGGCCAGGCTCACACCTGCTGAGCTTCAGTGGCGCTGCCAGCTTGGAGTTGCAGGGCAATACATCCCCACATGGTCATCCCTGTGTTGGTAACAGTGTACTGGAACCACATGTACCTGGTGGACCACTCCTTCTTCATCCACACACTGAGAGCAGGCTTGCTTGCTGACACAGGCACCGTTGTGGAAGACGCTGCCCCTGGGACAGAAGCAGCCCTCTGTGGGGATCTCCATGCACAGCGTGGTGTTGTTCGCTGGGTCGCACTCCTCCACACAGCCGGTCCTACAGCTGTCGAGCACCATCGTGCTGGGGCAAGGCATGGCTGTGGGGGAGCAGACAGAGCCACGTTGGTCAGAGAAGAGTTGAACCCCCGACTCTGTCTTTCTTGACTGGCCCGGGTTTTCAACTCTGATGGCTTCTTCTAAGAATCCAAGCAAGAGGACTAAAGACCGTATTCATTCAATTTAAGCATTGACCTGTTTTTCCTGGTGTGGACAGATTTAATCAGAGAGTCCTGATTTTACAGGCGCCTAAAGACCATGCTTAGTATAACATTGTGCATGTATAGTATGCAATACTATGACAACAACCGCCCCAGTGGGACCAAGAACTTATGTTCTTAAGTTAAGGTGTCACACATACGGTATTGACAAAGCACTGATAATTATAAAATTCCTGGATTTCCAGGCTGTTTCCCTTACTTTGATGGTTATTTGTATAGGAGAGACAGCTTTGAGGCATCAAACTAACTGATGTCTTTGTAACGTTTGAAATCTTAATTTAACCTAGTGGGCTTGACTAAAAGAGAGGTGATTACATTGCTTTTATGAATGATACGGTAAGTTTAATCTTACTTATTAGCAAACTGGGGCAACAGGCAATATATACACTGCAGTTAGTTTAATAGACCCAGCCCTTTGCCTTCATCTTCATAACATCTCCATGTAAAAATTATGATAATTGTTAAGAATTTTTAAATTAAGTTTAAATGGCGAAATTCATCTACATAGCAAGGGGAATTAAACTGTATAATTTTTCAGTTTTGTTCTGGACTAACCTGGAAAAAAGAAAAAAATTGAGAAATGATCTTCTTAATATCCTGCTGAATACTGGCCCTGATATATGTGTGTGTGTGTGTGTGCGTGTGTCTTATGTGTGTGCGTGTGTCCTGTGATGTCCTGTGATGTCCTGTCCAGGGTGTACCCTGCCTTGTGCCCATTACTTGCTGGGATAGGCTCTGCCCCCCCATGACCTTGAATTGGCCAGACGACAGGATAGATGTTCTTCTGACAAAAACGCATATCAAACACAGGTGGGCTGAATCTTACACCTTTAGCTCACTGTAAAAACAGACACAGACTTCAGGCTGTCACAGCTGGTCTTACCACAGAAGTCTGTCGATCTCCAGTTGACACAGATGCCCTGTAGCCGGCACAGGTGACTATAGGCTGACACGACGTCGCAGATTTCTCCACCAGAGCAGCTGCTCTGTTTGCAAAGAGCCAGGAAGGGAGCGGGCGACACCAGTTTGCGACACCTGGCGAACAGAGAGGACTGGAGGATTTGACACTGGTCACTGGCCTGCTGAGTGCAGACCTCGCTGACCTTCAAGGTTTCACAGCTGGTGCCCCAGGGCTCCTGGACAGTCCACTCCTTAATGAACACGCTGCTCTCCGTCGTTATAGAGCCGTCCCTCAGAGTGAAGTCGTTGAGCTCATCCTGGTCGCAGTATCCTGAGTAGAATCCAAAGGAAAAGACCGAGGAGACAAAAAGAAAACACACAGAACGGATAAATTGTTGTAGTTGTCTGAAGATTGTAGCCCTGAGAATAGTGAATCCGAAACGCTTCACTTTTGCAAGAGGTATGTCAAAACTCGAGCAACTGCAATGACCGCTACTTCAAGGATCCCATTAAGGACGTTCCTGGAAACATACTGTAAGAGAACAACATATTGCAGTAGTATGCTTCTGAGAGCACAAAAGCACATGTGTTCTGCATTTGACCGCAAAAGATCCTTGCAGTGTGTTTTGTTTTCCAAATACAAGTCATGTTTAGTAATAAGGCATTCAGAATATGTCATGTCATTTGCCAAACCGCTTTATATGATACGGTGTCGCGGCAAGCAATGAGCAGGGTACACCCTGGAGGGGGTCCATTGGGACAATTGGGAGGCCACGGCAAAGGCCGAGGGGGGAAACTTGGCCCAGACACCTGGGATAACTCCCTACTCTTCTCGAGAAATGCCCGGGGATCTTTAATGACCACTGAGAGTCAGGATCTCGGTTTAACGTCTCATCCGAAAGACGGCGCCTTTTTACAGTATAGTGTCCCTGCCACTATACTGGGGCATTAGGACCCACACGGACCGCAGGGTGGGCGCCCCCCACTGGTCCCACTAACGCCAGTTCCAGCAGCAACCGTAGCTTCCCAGGAGTTTTCCCTCCAGGTACTGAAAAGGCTCAACCCTGCTGAGCTTCAGTGGGTAGCCAGTTGAGAGCTGCAGGGTGATATGGCTGCTGGCGTTTTCAGAATATATAGTATTAAAATATAGGGTTGAGGAAATGCCCCTTTATATAGGATTTACTTTAAATAATAATGGAATATGAACAATAGCATAATGCAAGGTAATGCATTTTAATTAATCTTTGTGTGTGTTTTTTGCTTCTTGGCAGATAGAAGTACTGACCCTTGTTGTTTCTCCTTGTGGACCAGAAAAGCTGATGTGATTTTGGCGAACATTCGTTGCCATCTGTAGCCAGAAATATTGTAGCGCTTGCTACCATTAGCATAAGGCAGTTTTTATCGCAACACAAAATGTCTAGGAAAAACTCACCACAAAGCCCAGATGTTTTGTTAGAAACTTCTGTGGGGCCCAACTGGATTGTAAACTCGTTATTTCTAGGAGTGAAAGTCACTATGTGACCCGAGTTCTTCAGCCCCACTCTGTGCATGATGGCTCCATACTGATTAACTTCCATTCCCCTTGTGGTGATGGGAATAGGAGTCTCCATCCCATTCAGTGTTACCTGTCACAGAAAGAATACAGTATGATTTTTCCATTGTGAAAGAAAAGTAACGCCACTCTCTCAGGTTTTACTTTATAACGTGAGTGTTTCTTCAAGGGTGACTTTGGTCTTGCAGCCTTCAAGATAGCCATCTGTACAGAGCACAAATCCCGAAAATCACATGAGTCTGTTTTGTAAATACTGTGCTTTCCCGTAGGTACAGTACCCTCATTCTCAACATGACTGTAAATGATCCGAATCATGCAAATGATTTCCAAATGGGCCCATCTCATTTATCACATAGCAAGCAGCTGCACGGTGAACGTTATTCAAGGAGCATTCTTAGGGGAGGGACACTGGATGATCTTAAAGTAGAAGCCATGTCAGGTAAACCTGATAATCAAGGTTCTCAGTTTTGATTTAAAAGATCTAACAGTCTTGCTAATGTACTGTGGAAGACCATACCACAGCCTAGGTACAAGGTAGAAAAGTCACAACATTTATTTGAGCACACATTGCCAGCCAGAGACTGGAAAATAAGGACTCCATGGTGGAGTGTGCTGAGAAATAAGATGAGAAATGCAATTCAGTGCTGAACCATGCAGAGCTTTGATGGCACAAAGTGAATTTAGACGTTGCAATTCACTGAAAGTCGAAGCAAAGGACGCTAAGGCTAACATTTGACATGTGCTTTCAGTGTCACACAGGCGATTAAAATTTACGCCAGCAACATCTTAAGTATGTACTGCAGGAGACAGTCTTAAAGCAAAGACCAAGATTCTTTTAATTTAACGTAACATTTTACTAAGCTGTTATGAAGCATCATTACTTCATAGCAGTACTTCAGTTTTCTCAAGCTGCGGAAAAGTCAGGTGCGTTGAATTCTGAGATCACCCAGGCAGAACAGCCAAGAAGATCCTGCTGAATCCACACTTGGAGCTGGGCCGTGCGCATACACATTTGGGTATCGGCAGCGCTGACGTTAAAGGAGATGCTCGAGCAACAAGAAATGATATTGAACAGGATTTGCACCAGTACCAATTCCTGCTGAGCAGCACAAAGGTTTGAGACAAAGCAAGAGTCAGATTTCATGAATACACGGTTGTCTACCCTGATGCGATCAATGTCAGTGTGGCACAGAGATCTGCAACATCCAGTGCCATCCAATTGGATTTGATTCAATTCAATTGATTATCATTTCTGTCCTAAAACACAGCCATGCCATCAGAAATTGTCTACGTTTTGTGGGAATCCTAACCCTAGCTATGGGTTTGCCACAGGTTAGGATTAGGGTTTAGACCTTCCTCAAAGAGTTTCCACAATCTTCCATTCATTTGATTGGAAAATTTACTTCACTGCATCAAAAAATTAGTCTGAAATGACTCACAACCTTGTCAAACAAAGAGAATGTACTGCATGAAGACTGGTAAAATTAAGTTTTGACAAGTGTTCTGTTTTAGGATATTTTGTGTTGAATGGGGTCATGAATGAGTATGGGTTCGGGCTTAATTGGCATTAAAGTCAGAAACAGCTAACAAATTTTCGCCTTATTTGTTATTATGCCTGTGCATACAATGCATATTGCAAGAGTTTGAAAGGATTAATCAGTATCTTTCCAACTTTTGCTTGTAGAGCAACCTAGACAACGTCCCTTTTGGGGCAATGCACTGTTCTGTACACGGTGCTAATTATTCAATCAATGCCACATGCAAGTTCTACATTTTGAGGTGCCTAATGGCCTCTAGATGCTATTTCAGAACCGAGCAGGACTACATTCGATGGTTTGAAACCTCCCCCTCGAAGGGAAACGTTTAAAAATGCATCCCAACACATTCATTACTGCTGTTGAAGAAATAGCACAAGACAGCTCTCCACCACCCGTCCCATGGTAAAAGATCACATACCTTCATGTCATCATGTAGCACCAGAGAGACTCCAGCAGCTTTCACCTCTATAGATCTCATGCAGATCTGGTTTGGAGATGCCTCACACTGCCCGTTATGGAGTATAATCTCAATGCCTTGCCCAATGTCCTGGAGCAACGCATAGGAGCAGAATCCGTTCAGCTTGAAGGCCAGTCCATCGAATGTGACCACGTGATTGGTTGAACTGCCCATGCACATGCCTAATGGGTTAATATTAGTAAACAGAAACCATGAGTAAACACACATGAAATCGATGGAAGTTTGTGTTTTGTTCAGGTTGAAAACAACATGAACTGTAGCATGATCAGTTATTAAATCCAGTGCTGTGATGACAACAGTAGAAGAACATCTTTCGCGGACATTATCATTCTCTGCCACTTTTATACACTCTTCACACACTGCTGTGCGACAATTTAGTCAAATCAGGAGGTACAGAGCGTGTCTCATGCATATCAACAATTTACTTAAATTAGCTTCCATCTGTGTTTTCTGCTAATACAGCAACTTTGACTCTTATCCATATAGCTTAGTTAGGGAGTGATAAAACCCAGCTGATCCTTCAGCTTCCTTTTATTCATGTTGATCAGAATCTTTCTTGACCACAAGATGAATGTTTTCGAAAATGGTGCTGCCAGTTATTATATATTTCTGTGAGGTAAGATTATAGCGGTTTGAAAATATTGCCAAATACAAAATACTGGGATGCCACGCATGATAACCATATTTGTTGGGGTCTCCCCCTTCATATCACCCACATGGACAAGCCCATCGGCAACCGCAGGGCTCCTCGATTTTCACGCTGCGCAGGTTGTTCTTGCATGTGGGCCTCTCCATCCTCTCGCAGTTGATGTTGTGGCTCTGGATGGTCACGATTCCATTCGGGTGGCACAGCAAGCTGTGGCACTTGTCAGAGAGGACCCAGGTCTCCCCAGGCTGCCAAGGACAACAAGGGCGGGTGCTTACTTTAGGTAAATGGCACAACCAGGCGAAGTGCTTCCTTTGGATCAATGGTTACAGTCTAATGTTCAAGTTCAAGTTTATTGTCATTATACTCATATACAGGTATATGGTACTGTATAACGAAACGAGATGCTTAGAGCTTTCCTCAAGTACTGTCTGTCACAAATGTCCTGTATAGATGGGAGGGCAACCTCAGTGATGGACTGGCCAGTTTTCACCACCCGCTGTAGGGCTTTGTGGTCAGCAATACTGCAGTTGCCATACCACACTGTGATGCAACCTGTCAGTGTCCAGTCTTGGCTCTGTAGGGCCAGTGTGGGCAGAGGCAGATATTGTACTATGTATTAACTAACTTCTGTAAAGTTTTTACTCCTTAGTAATAAAATGGGCTGTACCTACTGGATTTAAAGTGCAAATGAATTCAACTGTAGTTCTGACACATTGTTAAATGTGCTGTGGGCTTCACACAAAGTGTCCCACAGGGCTTTAGAGAACGATAACTAGAATAATTAATCAACAGAGGTTGTCATGGGTATCAAGACAAAGGACTTAAAATGGTTTCTGATGAAGTTCTTTTTGTAATGAAGCACGCTGGAAGCCAGTATTATTGCTTTCAGTCCAATACTGCACTGGTAGCCAGTGAGGATCTATGAAAATAGGAGTAATTAGTGAGGTGGGATGATTCTGTGTGACATTTGTGGAAGTGAGACTAGAGATAATCAATCCTCACAGAGAGCATGTGGAAGTCCAGGGTTGTACCACTGTCTCAAAGGATAATATAAGAATTACAACCTACCTGTAGGGTTTTCTCTAAGTGTAGGATTTGCTCTATAGGATTTCTCTGTGTCAGATTTACCCCGTGTGCAAGATTTTCTTGTGTGAAGGACATTGCTATACAGACACCTGTTGTTGGCACCAAAGAATCTGACAGAGAGGCTAAACAAGCACACTGATGTCTTGCATATAAGGGTCTTGCATCTGTAGAAAGGATCACAGGTTGACCCTAAATATAATGATCCTAAAATAAGTGCTTCTCCAATACCTGTTGGGTACGTAGAGGAGGTGTTTTAAAGTATAAAAGGATGCTTGTGAACAAAGGTGGGCAGATCAGAAAAGGAGAGAATCACTCTGTCAGTCTGATCTCCAGCTGGCCTCTTTGTTATTAAATGAACCTCTTCCAATTCTTCACTGAACTTGCGCTTTGACTTTTTGCTTCTCTACATACCTTTCTTTCATTTCCATCGTCATCTATGCATTTGCCTGGAGGACCCGCTGGAACATAAGAGAACTCAGTTAGGAGATCGTTTTGAAAAATGGGTTTGTCAAAAATCTCATGTGTGCATGATCAGGGGCAATACCTCGGCAAAGCTTGTCAATGAACGTGTGCCCCAGGGTGACCATCACAACCAGGTCGTCCATGTGGTTGAGGTGAAGGATGTTGCTCTCCATGTTGTGCCCTGCCAAGGTGGCGAGCTGGCTCTTATCGTAGCGCGTTCCCACGCCAATCGGAAACACGGATAAACCTGAGGGAGACGACACAGTTTGGTCTATCTTCAACTGTCCTTACTGTACCACATTCTACAGGTGCGCTATAGAGAGTGTGCGCGTGTTGGATTGCAGTGTGGTTTGGCAGAAGCTCGTTGTCTGCCTGGAAAGTGTCAGGCGCTGATCAGCTCAGCCCAGTCCATCACTGCAGTACAGCTCCCCTCTATTTCAGACATGTTTACAACTCGCTGTCCCAGGAAGGCTGAAAGTATCGCTAAGGATTACAGTCATACTGGTTCCTCACTTCTCTCCCCCCTTCCCCCTGGGAAGCGTTATAGGAGCAGAAAGGCAGGAACTTCCAGATTAAGAGACAGTTTCTTCCCACAAGATGTCAGATTACTGAACGCTACCCCTACCACTGGCGTACACTGATGTTTTTATTTAAAGTTGTATGTTGTTTAACTTGTTGTTGCTGCTCCTTTTCTGTGTTGATGTTTTTGGTGGTTCCTTTAATGTCTTTGTATTGGAACGGATATCCAAATAAGCATTTCATTGCACTCGTGCCTATGACAAATAAACTGAACTGAAATAATTAATAAAACAGGCGTCTTCACGGATGGAAATGCATGTTCACCTCGTTGAGAACCGAAGTGAACCAGGTTCGAGCTGTGCTGTATCCTACATGATTGTGAAGATTAATTGAGAAGCACCATGACAAATGTAGAGAAAAATACGTTAGGATCGTGGAAAACCAGGGGCCAGTATTTTGAAGTGCAACAGAAACTACAGTATATAGGACCAAGGAAAACATCTTGCAGAGTCAGAATGCACAATTGCAGAAAAACCGGTGCAAAATGACCATTGAGACCATTCCCAAGGGGTGCCCTCAGCCACACCCGCTGTATTCAGCATATGAAGAAGCAATACACCTTTGTACCCACCGGCAGAAAGCTACTGTACCTGTGAGCGATCATACAGTTCACTCAATGTCAATGTGGGTACGAGCAGGTGTTGGAGGGATGGATGGCAAAGCTCTCTGTCCTCCTTTTTTCCTGCTTCTCTAGCTAACAGCATCAAGCTGATGAAGACGAGAACCTTCAGAGGGAGGCGGGTACTGTACGTACCAGCTGTCAGGGCCTCGTTAGCCGCTTGTTCCACTGGATCCTGAGACATGTCCGTCACGATAATCACTGCAATCTTGGCCACTCCAGGCCGGCCTCCGCTGCCTGAGGATATGGCATTCTGGACGGCGAAGTGCAGGGCAGCACCTATATCACCCCAGGAGAAAACAGAGCAGCATGCTTCACTGCAGCTCCAGGACAGCACAGAGCACCATGCCTACAGTAAATGCAGCTGCAGGACAGCACAAAGCACCATGCTTCACTGCAGCTCCAGGACAGCACAGAGCACCATGCTTAAATGCAGCTGCAGGACAGCACAAAGCACCATGCTTCACTGCAGCTCCAGGACAACACAGAGCACCATGCTTCACTGCAGCTACAGTAGAACATAGAGCATCATTCTTCACTGGAGCTCCATGAGAACACAGAGAACCATGCTTCACTGCAGCTCGACGTCAGCACAGAGCACCACGCTTCACTGCAGCTACAGGACAGCACAGAGCACCACACTTCACTGTAGCTACAGGACAGCACAGAGCACCACGCTTCACTGTAGCTACAGGACAGCACAGAGCACCACGCTTCACTGTAGCTACAGGACAGCACAGAGCACCACGCTTCACTGCA